GAACTCTGGGCCTGGGCGCTGTCCCTCAGCTCTTCAGCTCAAGGCTAGCGCTCTACCACTTGAGCCACAGCGCCACTTCCGGCTTTTTTCTTTTTGTTTATGTGGTGCTGAAGAATCAAACCCAGGGCCTCAGGCATGCAAGGCAAAGCGCTCTACCACGGAGCCACTTTCCCAGCCCCTGAAAGGGTGATTAAGAAAGCATTCAGCCAAGTAATGAACTAGACTTTGCTTATGTGATTTTTTTTTTAATTTTGAGATTATAAATTGTGGTTTGAGATTACTGTGTTTTTATGGTACCACTTTTTAATTATCTTTGGTATTCTACCTATTGCATTTTAGGTTTCTTAACTTCTTAGGTTTTCTATATTCCACAACTTCACATCTGTTTAGTTTGGGGTGTTGTTTTTCTCTCTCCTTTTTTTTTTTAATCTTTGGTATTTGATCCTTAGGGCTTTGTGCTTGCTAGACAAACTACAGCTTGAGCCACACCTCCAACCCCATTGGTGGTTCTTTTTAAAAATTTGCAAGCAGTATATCGGATGAATTTTTTAATATAGCTTATTGATGCTTTTAAATGGAATAAATATTCACATCTTGAGTTTCTCAACTAAGTCTTGAAAGAAGTTGAAGTCATGAGATCTAAGAGATTTACTTTCAAAGATCAGTCATTAGACAAAATCTGATGTTACTACTAAATGTTTAATGTTTTCATTTATTATGATTCTTTAAAGAAAGGTAAAATGTATTTTAAGTGATATTATTATTAACTCAGGATGTATATAATTATACTTTAGTCTAAACTGCATATAGTTTTACTTTGAAATCTTTCTAACCTATATTGTGTACTTACAAAGAAACAGTATATATTTGCCTTACAAAAATTAGCCTATAGGTAGAACAGCCTAAAATTTATCTCTGATGCTAAGCTGTTATTTTTTTGTTTGTTTTTGTTTTGTTTTGGGTTCGGTCGTGGAGCCTGAACTCCGGGCCTGGGCACTGTCCCTCAGCTCTTCAGCTCAAGGCTAGCACTCTACCACTTGAGCCACAGTGCCACTTGTGCTTTTTTTTCTTTTTGCTTATGTGGTGCTGGGGAATCGAACCCAGGGCCTCATGTATGCAAGGCAAGCGCTCTACCGCTGAGCCATCTTCCCAGCCCTAAGCTGTTGTTATTAATAGCACCTTTCTCACTTTTCTGAAAATTATCATTTATTTTAAAAATGTACTATTTGGGGCATTTTTCTCATTCTTTTTCTTTCACAATGTATTGTAACATCTTCAAAAAGTATTTTTAAATTCTTTAGACTCAGAAATTTTCTATTAGTCCTGAAATCTAATAACTGTTGTATGTGCACTTAAAACAAATCTTGCAGTTTCTGTATACATTTTAATTGTTATTTGTTTCTTTACTTATAAGCCTGCAGTGGTTTCTGGAGTGCATAAGAAAATGAACATTAGCTTGTGGAAGGCTGAATCAATTAGTCTTGATTTTGGAGACCACCAAGCTGATTTACTAAACTGCAAAGACAGCATTATTTCTAACACCAATGTTAAGGAATTCTGGGATGGTTTTGAAGAAGTTTCAAGTAGGTTTTTCTTTTTTACTCGTTGAATGTTTACATAATCATATATGCCTAAAATTATAGATTATAAACAACTTAATAAGATTTCAATCTCAGAAACTTCTATATTATTTGTTGCCTTAAAGAAAAAGTAAGTGGAGACAAATGATTCCTATTTTAATTTTGGCACTAATTTCCTTTGACTTTAAAGAACTCATTTATGTAAGTTTCCTAATATTTGAGGAACTTTTGGATAGTCCTATAAAATTATGGTATTAAACTAGATAATTGACCTAAAACACTTTGAAAAGTAACTATGAATGTAATACTAATGTTAGCAAAAGAGAATTTATAAAAGATACAACTTTTTAAAGATTCTACCAGTGGGTAATGCTGTCTCTGAGTGTATTTTTTGTAAATAAAGAAATAGTCTTAATGTTAAGTACATCGGAAATAAAGTCAATAAGCATTCACTGAACATATGTACAGAAGTCGAATCAGGCATTTACATCTCTTTTTCCTCAAATATTAATAAAAATAAAATAGAGGAATATACTTTTAATAATTAACTGTTTTTTTCATAGAACGACAGAGAAACAAAAGTGGAGAAACAGTGGTTTTGAAATTAAAAGACTGCCCTTCAGGAGAAGACTTCAAGACTATGATGCCTGCAAGGTATATTTTTGGTACTCTTCATTTTGACTCTTTGTTTTATGTTCTGAGATTATCCCCCGGGGACATATTAACTTTTCAGTGTTTTCATTTCCCAGTAATTGTGTGTGCATGTGTCTGCTTGCATGTACATATACACATGCATGCTTGTCCTGGGGCTTGAACTCAGGTCCTGGGCACTGTCCCTGCCTTTTTGCTCGAAGTTAGTGTTCTACCACATGAGCCACAGTTCCACTTATGGCCTCATTTATTTATTGAGTCAAGTGCGCAGTGGCTCATGCCTATAATCCTAGCTACTCAGGAGGCTGAGGTCTGAGGATTGCAGTTCAAAGCCACCCTGGGTAGGAAAGGCCGTAACTCTTCCAGTTAACCACCAGAAAGCCAGAAGTAGCAGAGTGCTTGCCTTGCTGAAGAGCTTAGGGCCAGTGCCCAAACCCAGAGTTCAAGCCCCATGACCAACAACAACAGAAAGTTTATTGGATTTAAGAGTCTCATAGACTTTCCTCCCCATGCTGACTTTGAACCTCAAACCTCAGATTGTCAGCTTATGAGTAGCTAGAATTAAAGATGTAACCTGTAAGTGTCTGGCCTGGCAATAAAAGTAGTATTAAACTACCATTTTTAACAAAACAATCTGTAGCCTCAGCAGGGGCAAGAAAATTGTTAAGAACAATTCTTTATGTTAAGGCAGTAAGGAAAGATAAGTCATATTTAAAAAAAAAAAGAGTGGAGTTATGGCTTAAAAGTAGTAAAACAGGCTGGGAAGGTGGCTCAGTGGTAGAGCGCTTGCCTTGCATGCATGAGGCCCTGGGTTCAATTCCTCAGCACCACATAAGCAAAAAGAAAAAGGCAGAAGTGGCACTGTGGCTCAAGTGGTAGAGTGCTAGCCTTGAGCTGAAGAGTGGAGGGACAGTGCCTAGGCCCAGAGTTCAGGTCCCACGACCAGACCCCCCCCCCAAAAAAAAAAAAAAAAGAAAAGGTAGTAAAACATTAGCCTTGAGCAAAGAACTCAGGGACAGCTCCTAGGCTAGGCCCTGAGTTCAAGCCCCATGATCACCCAAAGAACAAACACAGAATTTGGTTTAGGGTCTCCCTTCTCTTGGAGTTGTTAATTTTTAGGGTTTAGGGAAATGGAATTAGTATTACTTGTATTTTATGTCTGCCTGTGTGTAGTACATTTATCTAAACTTTGAAGGAAGTCAAGGAAAAGTGCTGATAATCTTACAGAAATATTTTATGTCATTTTCAACAACTTGAAAAGTAAATATCTGAAGGCACTTAAAAATACAAATCTTAATTCTTCAGATATGAAGATCTTTTAAAAAGTCTACCATTGCCAGAATATTGTAATCCAGAAGGAAAATTCAACTTGGCCTCTCATTTGCCAGGATTCTTTGTACGTCCTGATCTAGGACCCAGGTTGTGTAGTGCCTATGGTAAGTATAATTTTACATTTCTTTCACAAGTTTGTAGTTAAATAGGATTTTAACAATCTCCCCAAAGGTAATATGTCTTAATCTTACTTTAGTTTTTAACAACTTTTTTTTCCTATTTATGACCAGATTTAACCATTTTGCCATATTCCCATTTCTCTTCTTCCTCCTTAATGTACTCATCTTTTGAACTGCTTTTGGTGGGCTTCATTATGCTGTGTTCTTTTATAAATACATGTACAATGTTCTTCATCATCATGTCTGAGTCTCTACTCATTTTCCCCTATCTTTCATCTTAATCTCATGTCCCATTACTATTACTGTCATCCCATGATCATTTTAGGTCTGTGCTTCGGGATTGAGAAACATTTGGCTCTTTTGAGCTTGCCTTACCTCATTAAATATAATGTTCTTCAGATTAGTCTATTTTCTTACAAATGCCATAAATTTCATTTTCCTTTATGGCTGATAAATATTTCATGGAGTATGTACATGAGCGTGCACACACAAATTTTGTTTTCTGATTTTTTTTGTTGTTGTTGGTCCTGGGGCTTGAACTCTGGGCCTAGGCACTGTCCCTCAGCTCTTCAGCTCAAGGCGAGCGCTCTACCACTTGAGCTACAGCGCCACTTCCGGTTTGCTAGTGATTTCCTTCACGGGCTGGCTTTGAACCACAATCCTCAGATCTCAGCCTCCTGAGTAGCTAGGATTACAGCTTTGAGCCACCAGCGCCCGGCTCAAATTTTGTTTTCTTTATCCATTTATTGCCTGTTGGGCTACTATGATCAGAGTTGCAATTCTATTGAAAATTTGTTTTATATCAATCAGTATGTTAGAAATTAACAGCCAGTATTAAGTACCTGCTAATTTACCTTTCAAAATAATCTTTACTTTTTTATTGATTTGCTTTATAATAGAGTATTATAATGGGATGTGGCTTTTAGAAGCAGGCTCATTAAGCTCAAACTATAATGAATCATTCTGATAGATCTGATTTAGGAGAAATACCCTATATATTATATTTTGTCAAAAACAAAATCTTATTTTATATACAGGTGTAGCTGCGGCTAAAGATCATGATATAGGAACAACAAATCTTCATATTGAAGTTTCTGATGTTGTAAATATTCTAGTCTATGTTGGCATAGCAAAAGGAAATGGGATTATTTCAAAAGCAGGTAAGGAAGCTAAATAATAGTGGTTTTAATAGTTGAATAACAATACTATGGTGAATACTAGCTTATGGATTGACAGTAAAGGTTTCAAATCTGTTTGCAGTAGGTGTGGGGATCCTCTAATCTTCATTATTTGAAAATTCCTTTTTTATGTAACAAATTTTATAAATTTGTTATTGACTGCATTGTGGTTATGAAAATGTATTGTGAAACTCATTTTCAACACCTGTTGAAGAATAGACTGCAGCTCTGTAGAGATGATGGAGATACTATGTTTGCCTCAAGCATTTTCCTACCCATCCTCCAAGGATCAGAAAGAAGAATATACTACTACACTATTGTAGAAGTTACATTTGTGCCTAATAGTTAGGTTTTAATTTCCCTTCTTTGGATTCCTCTCTGAATAATTGATCAATAACTTACGCCCTCCTTTATAGATACATACTTACAGGTCTTAAAAGTACACTGGCTTCTTATCGTCAAAATAAGAACAGACTTATAAGATAGGTCACTTATCTGTCATATACAGGGTCCCTGGCTCTGCCTGAGTACATGCACTGGATGGATGGGTGGATGGATGGATGATGGATAGATGGATAAATGACTGATAGACAAAAGCATCCTTTGATACTTTCAATCATCCTATTACTCCTGCCCTCATAACCATCTATCACCAATCCGTGGCTTCCTACTTACAATTTTGTTAATAGGACATTTATAAGACACCAGCCATTATTTCCTTAGAAAAATTTTAGATTTGTCCCAGAAGGACATAGAAAATGATAGTCTTTTATAGTGTTCTTTAGCTTTTAGTATTGTTCTAACTTATCTTACGATTTTGAAAGAATTTGTTACAGATAACATTTGAGGACTGAACCAATTGGTCTGTATTCTCTCTCTCTCAATTTTTGAAATGAATCCTTGCAAAAAGATTTTAGCTGTGTGCTGGTGGTTCACACTTATAATCCTAGCTACTCAGGAGGCTGAGATCTGAAGATCACCATTCAAAGCCAGCCCAGGCAGGAAAAGTCTGTGAAACTCTTACCTCCAATTAACCACAAGAAAACTGGAAGTGGTACTGTGGATCAAGTGGTAGACTGCTCTAGCCTTGAGCTGAAGAGCTGAGGGACAGTGCCAAGGCCCAGAATTTAAGCCCTACAACTTAACAAAAAAAAAAAAAAAGATTTTGCTGTGCATATGTAGAAAACATCTGATATAGCCTTAGAAGTAGGCAATATTTACGATATTTCAAGAGCTTCTTGTAGATACACATAGGAAATAACCGCAGTTAATACTTTCATTTGTGTACTTCTAAAATATTTTTATCTCTATACCCATCTATTTGAAGATTTTTGTATTGTGAGAGTTTCAGAATTATTGCCTGACATTTTCTTAAAATCACAGCTTTGTTTTGAATCATTTGATTACAGATTAATCACAATAAAATATGAAATGTACTCAGAATGAATAATTTTTTATTTAGTTACAGAATTGAGAAATGCTTCTTTTTTTATCTTTGTAAACTGTTCAAATATAAGCTAGAGGTGCCTACTTTATAATAGTTATAAGGGCAACTAATTAATAAAAGTCCTTTGGAAATTATTAAACATTATACTTGGTATTATAGGAACCTCCTCCTTAGGACAGGCAGAAAAACAATTGAATACAAACTATTCAATTTTCTATCTTATGCACTGTGGTTTACTGAAAATAAATGGAACAAAAGACAGCTGTTTCAGGTGGAAGAAAATTCTTTACATGTTTTAAGTATTAGCATAACCTGCAAACACTTACGGACACCATTAAAAATGACATGGCCTGGTGCTAGTGGCTCACATCTGTAATTATAGCTACTCAGAAGGCTGAGATCTAAGAATAATGGCTTGAAGTCAGCCCAGAGAGAAAAGTCCCATTGAAACTCTTATATCTAGTTAATCACTCAAAAACCAGAATTGGAGCTATGGATCAAAGTGGTAGAGCACTAGCCTTGAATAAAAGAGCTCAGGGCCAATGCCCAGACCCTGAGTTCAAGCCCCATGACCAACCAAAAAAAAAAAACTTAAAGTTTAGGTAAAGACAACCAAAGAGCTGGATGCTCGCTGGTGGCTCACACCTGCAAACCTAGCTACTCAGGAGGCTAAGATGTGTAGGAAATTCTGAGACTTTTAGCTTCAGAAAACCGGAAGTGGCGCTGTGGCTAAAGTAGAGCCACTCGCCTTCAGCTGAAGAACTCAAGGACAGTGTCCAGGCCCAGAGTTCAAGCCCTACAACTGACAAAAAAAGAAAGAAAGACAACCAAAGAATTAACTTTTAAATGTTTAAAGATTTCTCAAGACTTCACTCTTATCAGTGTTACATGGAAGACAGAACTCCCAAATTCTCTATTCTAACATTTTTGAAAATTTAACTGGGTGAGACTCTATAAGAGTATGAATTCCAGTCAAGAACTTGATACTTTGATAATTTTAGAAGGTTTGGCTTTTTATGGTACTAACCAATTTAATAATATCCTTCTGTGTTTCAGGAATATTAAAGAAGTTTGAGGAAGAAGACCTGGATGACATTTTAAGAAAAAGATTAAAGGACTCAACTGAAATACCTGGTGCTCTATGGCATATCTATGCTGGAAAAGATGTTGATAAGATAAGAGAATTTCTTCAAAAGGTATAGTTTATGTTGTAGCTAATCTTTTCACACTGCACAAGGATTTAGTAATTTTGGAATATAGAGTCATTTGTAATTGCGCTACATATAAAATCATTAAATAACTTAGCTCAAGGAGATGGGATTTTTTTTAAAGCATGTTTCAGTTTGGCAATGAAACCTGTCGATATTTTTGTTCATTTGTGTGAGGACTAGGGCTTAAACTTCATTATTTCACTCAAGGCTGGCACTTTTATCACTTGAGTCCTAACTCTACTTTTAGCTGTTTGGTAGTTAATTGAAGATAAGCGTATTGTGGGTTTTCCTTTCAGGACTTACTTTGAATCCGGTTCCTTAGATCCCAGGCTCCTTGAGTAGCTAGGATTAGGTATTGAGTCACTAGTACTTGGGTTGAAATTCTTTTGAGAGAGAGAGGTGTAAGGAAGAGTGATTTAAGAGATTTTCTGGGGGGGGGGGGTGGATTCATTATATACATGTTTGGAAATATCACAATAATACTCCTTGTACAACTAGTAAATGCAAATAAAGTCATTGAAAACGATGTTACAAGAAACAAGGAAAAAATGATGTTAGAAGAAACAAGGAAGGATCTTAACAGCCTTTAGAGAGAATGTAGCTTTGTTGGTATGCTGGTATTGTTCACCAAAGCCTATCTCAGGACAGGAAAAAGGTCCAGTCCCTCAAGGATGACCAGAGCTTTCACAACACAAGACACATAGTTTGTAATGAAAAATATATGTTGAATAATCAGGGATAAAATTAGTTTTGGGGAATTTCTTTTCTAGAATCCACATTGTTGCTCATTTTGTTATAATTTCAAAAACTCTTTCTGTAGACAATGTGAAGAAGCCTTGTAACTACCATCTTATTCTGATTTACACACCAATATTTTTATCTAAAATGTAATGTGTGCTTCTGAAAGCAGTTTATTTTATTGGTTAGTGAAAGATTCTCTTGAGATAGATTTCATCTTTGTACATTTCTTTAAAAAAAAACATAAGTGGGCACCAGTGGCCTCATGTTTGTAATCCTAGCTACTCAGGTGAATCTGAGGATCACGGTTCAAAGCCAGCCTGGTCAGCAAAGTCCATGAAACTCTTATCTCCAGTTAACTGTCATAAAACCAGAAGTGATACTGTGGCTCAACTGGTAGAACACTCACCTTAAGCTAAGGAGCTCGGGGACAGAGTTCAAGCCCTATGACTGACAACAACGAAAAAGGAAACTAACTAGATGAGCATTTAATAATAGAACTAATTGGTGAAAAGGAAATGGTATTAGCACTACTTCACTGTACTATGTTGTTTTACTATCATTTGGCTTTTAAGATTATTACAGAATGTATTTTCATTGTTTCATAATATTCAGAGAACAGGATTTATTATAAGAAGATGAAAAGTTTACTGAGTAGTATTTCCATTTCCATTACTTTATTTGAGGTTTAATTTTATTATTTATTTTTTATTTCTATTTTAATCCTTATTTCAGATTTCAAAAGAACAAGGCCTTGAAGTTCTACCAGAACATGATCCAATACGTGACCAAAGCTGGTATGTGAATAAAAAGCTTCGCCAAAGACTGCTTGAAGAATATGGAGTCAGAACTTGTACTCTTATCCAGTTTCTTGGTGATGCCATTGTTTTACCAGCTGGAGCACTTCATCAGGTACACACAAACTTAATTCTAAAATACCAAAAGAGCTATTTTGGGGGGAAAATAAATGTTTCTAGGTATAGATAAAAATGAAAGAAGCTGTAAATATGAAATTGACCTACACCAATCTGTTTCCATTAAATCTGTAAAAAGGCATTCTTGTGTTTAAAAAAATCTAATGTAATTATTCAGTGAGTTCAAATGGTTTTAACATGAGTCAGTCCCATTTATGTATTATTTCTGATTTGGGGGATTGAAATTGTAATATTTAAGACCCATTTTAGAAGTAGAGCAAACTATGTGTTCATTTTCATTTTCATTAGTGAGGCTTTTTTCAAAAGGGTCAGTAAAGAGGGAATATCCAAGAGCTTTTATCAGGTTTTAAATTTACTTCCTTTGTCTAGTGCACTAACATAATAATCCTTCTAAAGTATGATGGTATATAATTTATATTAGCTATGGATCCATAGAACTGAAACATCCCATCACAAATAAATGCATAAATGCCTGATCTTATTTTTTAATGTAGCTTGATGTGTGACATAGATTAGGTGATAGGAATAATGGAAAATGAAATTTCAAGTTTACAGCAGATTTTTTTTTTTTTTTTTGATCCGGTCGTGGGGCCTGAACTCTGGGCCTGGGCACTGTCCCTCAGCTCTTCAGCTCAAGGCTAGCACTCTACCACTTGAGCCACAGCTCCACTTCCAGCTTTTTTTTTTTTTTCTGGGCACTGTCCCTCAGCTCTTCAGCTCAAGGCTAGCACTCTACCACTTGAGCCACAGCTCCACTTCCAGCTTTTTTTTTTTTTTGGGTCCGGTTGTGGGGCCTGAACTCTGGGCCTGGGCACTGTCCCTCAGCTCTTCAGCTCAAGGCTAGCGCTCTACCACTTGAGCCACAGCACCACTTCCGGCTTTTTATTTTTTGCTTATGTGGTGCTGAGGAATCGAACCCAGGGCCTCAGGCTTGCAAGGGAAGTGCTCTACCACTGAGCCACCTTCCCAGCCCTTACAGCACATTTTTATAGGTTGAACGGAGCCCATATTCCACCATAAAAGCCACTTTCACCAACAAAAGCTTGTTTGCCTCAGTGGGTTCTAAGTTATAAAAGTTGCTTTTATGCTATTAGTTTCATCATTTTTATACCTCATGGCATTTGTGATTAAAAAAAAAACTTTTTGGTGGTCCTGGCATTTTACCCTTTGGTAGGCAGGCCCTGGTACCACTTGAGTTACACTTCCAGCCCTGTGATAGCAAAATATAAAACACAAATGTGCCTTTTTCTATAACTTCATAGAAATATATATGTATGTTAAATGGTTTTTTTTGTTCCTATGGACTTATGAACATTTTAGAGATTTAACATTTGCGATTCATATGTAATTAGGATTCACTCAACATTTGTTTTGCTTTCTAGCTAGCTGCTTACCAGAAATAGCTTATTTTTATTTAGAGGAATTGAACATTTATTCAATCAAAGAACCACCTATATTACTATAGATTTTTTTTTAAATAAGAATCCTACTGCCCAGTCAACCCCAGTGGCTCATGCCTATAATCCTAGCTACACAAGAGGCTGAGATTTAGAGGATCAAGACCAGCTTGGACAGTAAAGTTCACGAGACTCTTATCTCCAATGAACAAGCATAAAACAGGAAGAAGAGTTGTGGCTCAAGTTATAGAACATTAGCCTCAAGTACCAAAACTAAGGGACAGTGCCCAAGCCCTAATACCAGCAGAGACACGGATGGGGGTTGGGGCGGCAGGGAGAAGGAGAAGTACAGAGGAGCTAGAGAGAGAGACAAATGAGAAGGAGGAAGAGAGCAAAAGGCAAAAGAAGCCAGGCACCAGTGACTCAGTCATATAATCCTAGCTACTCGGGAGGCTGAGATCTAAGGACCATGGTTCAAAGCCAGCTCGGGCTCCAATTATCCACCAGAAAGCCAGGAGTGGCGCTGTGGCTCAAGTAGCATATTCTTGCCCTGAGCTGAAGAGCCCAGGCCCAGAGTTCAAGCACCATAACCTACCAAAAAAAAAGTTCACATACCACTGTTCAAAACTTCATAAAAACTGGGAGCTAATGGCTCATGCCTATAGTCCTAGCCTCTCAGGAAGCTGGAGATCAGAAGCCAGGTAAATCTGGGAAACTCTAATCTCCAATTAACCATCAAAAATCTAGAATTGCAGATGTGGCACAGTGTTAGAATACCAGCTGTGAGTAAAGCAATTAAAAAAAAGGCAAGTGAGAGTATGAGGCCCTGAGTTTAAGCCCCAGTACCAGCATATGCAAAAGAAACAAAACAAAAAATCTCCACCAGTTTCAGAAAAGAAAATACCTTATGTTGGAAGGTGGGAAGGGTTGGTTTATGGTCAAGGTGAGGGTGAATATAGTCAAAGTACTTTATATCCATGTGTGAAATAAGGACAATGAAAACCTGATGGCATTTTTTGGTATTTTTAAGAAGGGGATAGGAAGAGTGAGAAAACCTATGGAAATTGTTTTTAAGAAGGGATTATAGGGAGATGAGAGAGTGGAATGGAGGTGAGTTTGGTGGGGGGTACATTTTATATATAGAGAGAATATATGTTAAACCCTACTTGTACAAATCCTCAGTCTATATCTGTGCTGTTTGTGTTTATCTTAACACATGAATGTGTGCATGCACACACAAATATACCCTTACTCTCCTAATTATTTTGCTTTGCTGTTTTCACACACAATATGAAACATTCCTACCCCCACGATCTTTATTTTTATCATTTTTTCTGATTTTTCATTTTATCATCTAATGTAATTTATGTTTTATTTTTTCATTGTCTTGCACTCCTCACTAGAATGTAAACTTTATGAAGTCAAAGTTGTACAGGCTTTTGTTGTGTTTTTGCTTTTCTGCTTACTTGTAATGCTTAGAGTCAAAGATAGGTCATTGGCATTAGCAGTATACTACCGAATCATGCCCTAGCCCAAGATTTGGCTTTTTCCATTGCTCCCTCTTCTTGCCTAGAACATTCTACTTACTTGTCTGTTTTGTGACTTTACTAATAAGTCTTACGTGTATATGTACAAATAGGCATATTTGTACAGTCTGTTTTGTATAGAAGATCTGAAAATAGGTTCTTACAACATCATTTTTACAAAAGCAGATGAAAGTAAGTATGGCTTCCTATAACACAAATGTGTCTGTATAAGGTGTTTGCACAGTCATACTAAATCTGACTGCTTTGTATACGTGTCTTTGCCTACTTCAGAAAGTTTATATGGGCTGGAAAATAACTTCCAATTTTCACTATGCACATATGTATGTCAGAAAACGTTTTAAGATTGATAGAAAGTTAATAGCTATTATGAGAAGCAAATTTCATCTGTAATAAAAGATGATACACCAAAATAAACTGGCAAGTTCTATTCTGAGGTCTGCTGGGAAATGTTGCTGAATGCTGCAAGACAAAACTTTTTATGTTTTGTGATGCATAGCTGGGCATGCAAATTGCCATCTTTAAAAATAGGTATTTCTATCTGCTTCGTGTATGCATAGGATAATTACAATGCGGTTTTGTTTGTTACTCTGTTTAGAGGGTGCTATCTCTGACTTAGAAGTAGCAGAATTCAAAGTTACATACCTACTAACTTTGGTTTGATATTAATTTCGTGTATGCATAGGATAATTACAATGCGGTTTTGTTTGTTACTCTGTTTGGAGGGTGCTATCTCTGACTTAGAAGTAGCAGAATTCAAAGTTACACATCTCTTCATACCTACTAACTTTGGTTTGATATTAATTTCGTGTATGCATAGGATAATTACAATGCGGTTTTGTTTGTTACTCTGTTTGGAGGGTGCAAAGTTACACATCTCTTCATATCTACTAACTTTGGTTTGATATTAATTTTTACTACCTTTTTAGTCCTTAGAGGCTCTATAAACTGTTCATTGATGGTTCAACATTACCCTAGTAGACCACAAATGACTCTTGAAGTAATCCTAGACTCTATAAATATGTTTCTCATTCTTTGGCATAAGAATTTTCGAGAGGTCTTCATCAAGCACACATTGCTGTACTCATCCCCTAGAGTTTTGCATTTATTGAGTTTGGGAGGGGAGAACCTGAAATTTTACATTTCTAACAAATTTCTAAGCCTTGCTAATGTTACTGTCCAGTGAATGACTGTGAAATAGGAAGCCTTTACAAACAATAGGCACCTATCAAAAACTTGTTTCAGGGCTGGGAAGGTGGCTCGGTGGTAGAGTGCTTGCCTTGAATGCATGAGGCCCTGGGTTCGACTCCTTAGCACCACATAAGCAGAGAAAGCTGGAAGTGGCACTGTGGCTCAAGTGGTTGAGTGCTAGCCCTGAGCTGAAAAGCTCAGGGACAGTGCCCAGGCCCAGAGTTCAGGCCCACGACCGACCCCCCAAAAAACCCAAAAAACTTGTTTCAACCAAGTGATACTATATTGCAGCAGATAGCAATGCTAGAAAAGAAGCAACGTTCTAGGCCTGTGAGCAGTTGAGTATATCCAGAAAACAAACTGAGAATAGTAGCTGCACTATTCAGTAGAGTCTAGAAATGTGTCTTAGGAACCTGAAGGAAAGTATGATAGCCACAGTTCTCTATACTCTTTAAGAGGGGAAAAAAACAAAAACTCAGATTACAAACTTAAAAATCTTGTGTTGGTAAATATGACCAAGGATGTGAAAGCCCTAGATCATCAATAATAAAGTTGCCCTAAACTGTCTTACTAGATTATTTTTCATCATTCCTAAGGAGTTTATGTTAAGACTGCACATTTGAATTACCAAATTATTTTTCACACTTAGTTTTCAGAAATAGCTGCATATATAGCAATCATAGTGTTGAGATGATAACCTTTCTGCTATGAACATGAAAAAATTATATTTTCTTAATTATCCATTGATTTCAACTGATCCTTTAAGGCAAATATTATTAAGGCAGTTTTGGTCTGGAAAGCGAAATTAAAATGACTCACACATTGCAAAAGAAAAGGGGTAAGTTGAATGGGAAGTTAACTTTTATTCTGCTTCAAAGCTGAACATTGTCTCTTCAACCTCAAGCCTTTCAGCAGAACATCAGATGGGGGTTGTTCAGAAACATATAGCAACTTTTAAGCATTTATAAACATCGCCATTCTGAAAAACAACATTCTTAAAAGGACCATAAACTGGCAAAGACTGACTGAAAACTTTCAGAACTCTGGAATGTAATCCCAGTACTTAGAGTAACCAAGAGCCCATTTGATGAAGAAAAAGGCAGCTGATTTTTCACTTAAGGAAATCTGTCAGGGCACTGGCTGACCACTGAAATAATGGAACCAAGACTTCAGTGACCACACCCCCAACAGAGAATGCGGCCTTTCTGAACAGTTTGGAAAAGTCACTGAGAAATGCCTATAGCCCTCTGCGGTCACCAGCAGCAAACACTAAGGCAGGGAAAATGTGATTACCAAAGTTAGCACATTATAATGTACAGATGCCCAGTTTTCAAGAAAAAAGAAAGTATGGTCCATTCAAAGGGGAAAATTAAATTGACAGAAATGTTCCCTGAGGAATTCCAGACATTGGATTTACTAAACAACTGTCTTAAACTCAAAGAGCTAAAAGAAACTCCATGGATAAAGACCTGAAGGAAACCAGAAAAATGATGGATGAATCAAATAAAAATATCAATAAAGAAAAAAATAGAAATGAGCCATGTAGAAATTTTGGACCCACAGTGATTTTTTAAGACAGGCCAGAATTAGACATACCAAAGGGTAACATACTAAAACCTATTTTCAGATAAAGACATAAGGAGAAAGAGGGCATTTGGAGACTGTGTTTGATGGTGTGAGAGAGTCAATGTAAGACTGTAAAGCATCTATTTGACAAGACAACACAGGAGTTGGGCTCCTGTTGACTTGCCATTTATTGGCTGATTTGTCTTGGGACAGGCGCTGAACACATCTCATCCATAGTCTACTGTTCTGTGAAATAGAGCATCTATTCTACAGACAAATAATGAAGAGCCAGTGAGACTGTACAGACATGGTGAAAATGTGAGGCATCTACTGTTCATTCTTCTGAGGAACCAACAGCCTAATGATTACAGAAAGAGAATATTTGCTTTATATGCTACCAAGTTATCAATAGAGGCACAGTGCTTGAGTTAACTCTGCAGACTTCAGCAGCCGTTCAGGTGGTCATATGTCCAGAGGAGGAATTATAGCCTCTCTGGAATTCCATTACACTGTCATCAATTAGATTTTCTTTCCCACAGTCTCCATTTCCCACTTACTATCTCTTTTTCATCTCACTCCCAATTAAGTTTGTTTTGCAAACTTTTAAAAATTAGAATAGAATTAAATGCTTAGTTTTCCATTATTTCTCCTTTCCCAGGAATTTTTATGCCATTTTAAAATACCACTTGAAGACAACCTAAAACAATACAAATCCTCTGTTAATACTGAGCATAAATGGAAAGTAATGTAAGAAATAATGAAGTATCTGTAAATGCTGAACAGCAGATATTGAGTGGCTTCTAAAGAAAACCATTTTTCATCAGGAAAGAGGAAACGTAGAAACGGTTGCAATAGAGTCACAGAAGATTAGAGGGCCTCTTTAATTGGCTAATTTGAAATAAAGGCACAAAGTAAGTCCTAGGAAATGGAAACTCATTTGTGGTCAGTAGATCTGTATGGAACTATAGTTTTCATCCCAGTTCCTCACAAATGAACTAAGTTACATTTCTTTTCTCTGGTGTGTAAGTGACACTGAAATGACCAAATTGTTGAAAGCCTAAGGAACAGCAACATACTCATTGAGTACCTCCTAGATTTTTTTTCTACTTAGCAAGTTTCTAAAGTCTCACATTTTAAAAGTCCACCTTGACAAAATTGGTAATTAGGATCTGATTATCAGCCTCTCCAAAGGATTCCTGGAAAAGATATTTCTCTTTATCATTTAAAAATATTTCATTTACAAAGTCACTCCACATGAAGCTTGTCAGTGACATGACTTTCCCATTCAAGTGCGGTCTTCTGCTTTGAAATCCATTTGATGGTTTGGGAAAATTCTCTGGTAGAATTGGCCTTTGTGTTCATTGGTCTCACTCCTGTTGCCTTAGATTTATATTTCATGGCTTTTCTTTTGGGAATAGGTACAGAATTTTCACAGCTGTATTCAGGTAACTGAAGATTTTGTGTCTCCAGAGCATCTCGTACAGTCGTTTCATTTAACACAGGAACTGAGACTTTTAAAGGAAGAAATTAATTATGATGATAAACTACAGGTAAGAAATTAATATTTTAACAAGTCCTGTTCTGTGGGCTTTTTATATTCAGAAAACATAAATGTAGGGTTAGGCAGGTCAGACAGTCATTGATTAGTTTGTCACATTAGGATAACAGCCAAACATTAATGCCAGCATTTAATTACATGAATTTTAATGACCCTTATTTTAACTTCTGGCTTAACCATGTTTTTTGTTTTTGTTTTGTCGGTCATGGGGTTTGAACCCAGGGCCCAGGCGCTGTCCCTGAGCTTTTTCATGAAAGGGTAGTGCTCTACCCACTTGGAGCCATAGCACCACTTCTGGTTTTCTGGTGGTTAATTGGGGATAAGTATTATGGACTCTCCTGCCCAAGCTGGCTTCAAACCACGATCCTCAGAACTCAAGTCTCCTAAGTAGCTAGGATTACAGGCATGCTCAGTGCCTGGCTTAATCATTTTTTTTTTTAACTTTGACATTTTCCTTTTCTTTATATTTGGCTAGCCTTGATCCCCATTAAAATAATTTTGTGGGGCTGGGAAGGTGGCTCAGTGGTAGAGTGCTTGCCTTGCATGCCTGAGGCCCTGGATTCGATTCCTCAGCACCACATAAGCAAAAAGAAAATAAAAGCCGGAAGTGGCGCTGTGGCTCAAGTAGTAGAGCGCTAGCCTTGAGCTGAAGAGCTGAGGGACAGTGCCCAGGCCCAGAGTTCAGGCCCCACGACTAGACCAAAAAAAAAAAAAATTAATTAAAATAAAATAATTTTGTTTTTAATCTGGCAGTTGTCATTTGTTAATTTCTCTCCAGCTCTCAAGTGATTAGAAATATCAACATCTCTTTCAGGTTAAAAATATCTTATATCATGCAGTCAAAGAAATGGTAAGAACTTTGAAGATACATGAAGAGGAAGTAGAGGATATGGAAGAAAATTAAATGTGGCCCAGGTTGATGTTTGTAGGCCACAGACTGGGATTACTTCCTGAATGGTGATAGGCACACTAACTTCAGTTTCATAAAACCATCAGTGCCAAGAAATGCTCTTTGTAGTAATACTTGTTACTGACACCACAGCAGTATAGCATATGTCACAGCTCCTGTGAGTCAATGTTAGTTGTAAACCAAGCTGAATTGAAAAACAGCATTACATAGTAGTTTCTGTATCATAGTGTATATGATGTTTGTGAAAATGCCAGATTTAAAATGATGTATTTATTTTTGGTAAAGAAAATTCTACGCTATATTGTTGATGAAGTGTAAATGTACCCTTGTACAGTTTAATAAAATAACTAATATTTTTCACTACATTGAGACAGTTACTGTGAGAATAGGACACCAACACCAGCTATTGCCTGCGTTTGGGAAATTGCTGACTCGCACAGCAGTCATGTCATAATCAGAAATTACTGCCAAATAATTGTAAAATTTGTAAAATATAAAGTATATAAAGTAGATACTAAATACAGACACTTCAATATTTTATTGAAGCTATTGACTGTAAAATTAAACATTTTCAAAAGGTGTAATTTATTTAAAATTGTCTCATTTTGGTAAAATTTATGTGAAGTTTTAAAGCTAAATAGTAAACTTAATATGCTTTGTAAATATATACATATATACATTTAATGATGTATTTTTTTAAAACATTGGCTTGCTTTTGTTAAAGTGCAAGTGTTACATATGGCTTTGTATATTAAAGTTGAAAGGGGTTTTACATTTTCCATTAAAAAGACTTTATCAGAAGTTGTGTTCCAGAGTTCTCCCTACCCTTCCCCCAACCCTCACTGAGAAATTGAGCTGAGCTCAGGCCTCATACTTGCTAGATAGATACTCTACCACTTGAGCCCCGCCATATTTTACATTGGTTATATTTGAAGTAGGATCTCTTTATGCCTGGGCTGGCCTGGACCTGGATTAGGATCCTTCTACTTTGCTTTCCTGCATCATGAAGGATGACGAGCAGATGCTACCAGGCCAAGCCATTGGTTGAGATAGGGAGTCTGGTGAACTCAAACAACCCTATCCCCTGATTGTTGTGGACCAATAACAATACCAGTTGTCCACCTCTCAAGTGTGTAACACTAACACCACTCTGTCCAGCTCTCTTTTTTGAGATGGACTATGAGGGTAGAGAAGAATTAGCGGTCATCAAGGTATGAATATGAATTTTGTTTACTCTGTGACCCTTACAAGTTGCTTTAATTTGGAGTCTTGGTCTTAATAGCTGACTACTGTTTTCAGATGGTTGCATAAGGTGCATAGTTGGGACACTTTGAGTTATGAGAAATATGTAGTTCTCTACTTAACACCTCAAGGATATTGGGAAGAAACATCCAACTAGTGCAGCCTTGCAAATTGCTTTGTTTCTACCCTGATTTTGCTTAAGTCCACAATCTTAGTTCCATGTAGGTTGCTATTTTACCTTCACTCAATATTTCAAATAATATATAAATTTGGACCCTTTTTTGGGACCAGCTTCAAAGCTTGCACTCATGGTCTCAGGCTCTCACTGGGCTTTCTTGCTACTGGTACTCTGGTACATGTACCATACTTTCAGCTCTGCTTTTTTTGTTCTTGGTTAATTGAAGATAAACTATCTTAACGGCACTGGTGGCTTATATCTATAATCCTAGCTCCTCAGGAGGCTGAGATCTAAAGATCATGATTCAATAAACTACTCAGAAAAAGCCAGTGGTAGAGTGCTAGCCTTGAACACAAAGAGGCTCAGGGACAGTACCCAGGCCCTGAGTTCAAGCCCCAGGATGGGCCACAAAAAAAAAAATTAAAAATATATATATATATCTTGGACTGTTCTTTTTTTCTTTTCTCTTTTCTTTTTTTCTTTGCTCAGTCGTGGGACCTGAACTCTGGGCCTGGACGCTGTTCCTCAGCTCTTCAGCTCAAGGCTAGTGCTCTACCACTTGAGCTACAGTGCCACTTCCAGCTTTTTCTGCTTATGTGGTGCTGAGGAATTGAACCCAGGGCCTCATGCATGCAAGGTGAGCACTCTACCACTCAGCCACCTTCCCAGCCCCATTTTGGACTTTTCTGATAGGGCAGGATTCAAACCCAGATCTTCTGATCTCAACCTTGTGAGATCAACTTTAAAGGTTTGAGCCACGGGCACCTGACAAGTTTTTTACCTATTAATAGCACTTTTTTCAAATGCACCTCAACTTGTGCTTTCCCATGTTACATGGATTAGTTTTAATGTGAAATGAGTTTAAAGAAGATTGCCAGGAGCCCAATTCTTATCTTCAAGAAGTTTTTGCTTCTCTGTTTGTTTTGTTTTTTGTCGGTCGTGCGACTTGTACTCTGGGCCTGGGTGCTGTCCCTCAGCTCTTCAGCTCAAGGCTAGCCTCTACCACTTGAGCCCCAGTGCCACTTCTGGCTTTTTCTGTTTATGTGGTGCTGAGGAATCGAACCCAGGGCCTCATGCATGCGAGGCAAGCATTCTACCACTGAGCCACCTTCCCAGCCTTCTCTAGTTCTTAAACTTCCTTTTATCCCCATTAACCCTTCAGAATGGCTGAAGCTCAAGAATGTAAAACCTGGAAGTGTTCTGTATCTGAATTCCATGCCTGTGATCCAATTCTTGTTAAATGTAGGGTATAGAGAGACCATGATATTTACATCAGAAAAGGCATCTATAGAGTGGAAGGCTGTGGAATTGAATTACTATTGCTTTCTGATTACTGGAATAATTCCTCTGACCATTTCCCCTGTTCTAACCTTTTGGTTGGTTCTGCTGTTCATCATCACATACAAGAACATCTTAAATCAATTGGGTTTCCCCCAGAAAGAGGTAATAAAAATTGCCATTTGTTGGGTGCCAGAACCTCATGCTCTTAATCATAGCTATTCTGGAGGCTGAGATTTGAGGATTGGGTTTAAGCCAGCCCAGGCAGGAAAGTTTGTGAGACATCCATTCCAGCAAAGGGTTGGAAATGGAGCTGCAGCTCAAGTGGTAGTGCTAAAACTTGACCAAAAAGAGCTGGGGGGGTAAGAGTGCTTGCCATGCATGCATGAGGACCTGGGTTTGATTCCAAGGCACCACATAAACAGGAAAGGCTGGAAGTAGTGCTGTGACTCAGGTAGTAGAGTGCTAGCCTTGAGCTGAAGAGCTGGCGGATAACACCCAAGCCCAGAGTTCAAGCCCTACAACTGACCACAAAACAAACTAAGGAACAGCACCCAGTCCTGAGTTCAAGCCCTTGTAGCAGAACAAAATAAAAGCTAGGTTTCACATGTTAAATGTTCAAGAAATACATAAACACTACAAACTGAGATGTTTACTTTGAAGTAAATCTAACATTGACTATGACGTTGGCATGAGAAGGATTGCAGTTTGTTTTGCATTACTGTGAAGGTGGAAAGAAGGTTACCCGATTATCAAAGATTAACAAAGGAAGGCAAGACTGGATATGCATAGGTGTTAATATGCTATCATGGAAGTAGCTAACTGTTGCTTGGATCAGGTGGCTGTTTTCTACATTTCAGCTTTTCTTGCAAAAGAAATTGCTAAATAAACAATTCACATGCTCAAGTTGTGAGGCAAATTGGAACAGAAGAGAGTTTAGGACACTGACATTTTACCCCATCTGTTGAATAGTCTTCCAACTTGGATTCACTATTTCAGCCTGTTGAGTGATATATTTCTAACTGCTGTATAAGCCCCAGAAGTTAGTACCATAGACAGCTGTGATTTAAGAAATAATAGGAATATATCGTCTGGTTTCACACCTGCTATTTGACTTGGTAGTTTTGTTCGTCTAATCATTTTTCATGGTTGGGTTTTTCAAAACTGAAAAACAATTGCAAGTTGATCAGAAACTTCTGCAGTAACCTCATGTTTCTATGAAGACAAGAGCCAGTACAATCAACTGAACTAAGCTTTGGTGGAGTAGACCCAGAGGTCAAGTTGATTTGAAAGGTGTCTAGCTCAGCTCTGGTGGCTCTGGCCTGTAATCCAAGTTTCTCAGGAGCTGAGATCTGGGAATAGGGCAAGAAAGTAAAACTCTATTAACCAGCAAGAAGCTAGAAGTGGTATCGCCACTAGCCTTGAATGAAAAAGCTAGGGGATAGTACCCACAAACAAGCTCCAATACTGGGACAAAAAAATGTCTAGACAGATATGATTGCTGATTTTCCTCCCAGAGATGACGTCAACTAGTTCCCACAGATTTTCAAGACACTTTTCTTCTGTTCACAAAAAAGTAGGAATATATTCTATTAAAAGTTGTCACTGTGCCGGGTGGCTCACGCCTGTAATCCTAGCTACTCAGGAGGCTGAGATCTGAGGATCGTGGTTCAAAGCCAGCCCGGGCAGGAGAGACCATGAGACTTCTATCTCCAATAAACCACCAGAAAAAAAAACCGGAAGTGGC